GGAAGAGGAAGGGTTCTGCTATGTTCCTTATGTACATGAATAAAGGGATAACACTTTCCAGGGTTATAAATATCTTCTTCTCTCTGTTAAAAGACATATAGCTCACATACACAGGAATTATCAGTGAAGAATAAAAAAAAATAGGATAAGATCAAAGAAATATTGTTACATACGTTCCTTTCTTGCTAAACAGATCTTTGGTATTAGATAAGAAGGTTGTCCTTAAGCTAATGGTTTTATGTTATCTATGTACACAGAACAGAGCTAAGAAGTACCACCCAAAAGTGTTCTGGACTATCAGATAACTCGTCTTGGCATCCCCCCTCCTCTCTTCCTCTTCCTCTTCCTCATTCACCACAGAAGACCCTCTCCTCCATTACTTAATTCTCCTCTTCCCACGTTCATTAATTTCTCTAAACTTCTCTTTCTTTCTACTCTTGAGCTTATTCACTTATTTTCTCTCCACTGCATAAGTTCACTTCTCTCAATGTTTTCATTCGCTGTTTTCATATTTGTGTATATTTGTGTACGTGTAAGTATAAAGAGGTTTGAGGGTCTTGATGCAATCGTTGTAACAGTCCATAGATATCTAATTCTCTATTCTGCCTTTTAGTCGTGAGGATGTGATTCTCTTTCTCTCTGGGAGACACACAGTTTTCTCCTGGGTACTTCTCTAAATAAACTTTCACCATCAAACACTGTCAAGAGTAGCACATAAACAACCGGATTAAGTCACGCCACCATCGAGTCGTGTTTCAAGTCAGACGCACACTCTTTTTTTTTTTATATCAGGGGGAAATATCTTACTCATGAAGATCACCAATTATTTCGACTGCAACGTAACGTGAGTGGGCAGAGTTTGTAGTTTTATCCAGAATTAGTCACCGTAACCATGTGTTTGTTCTCGTGTTCACTACTCACAGACATTAGTATTAAACTTACCTAAGACGTAGCACAATGAATACAAACAAACTTGGTGCTGAGTTTAGACTGAAATGATCGAGTCGTTAAGAACATACAAAGGTGATCCTTTCCTGGGGTTTTGAAAAGGCGAAATGGGAAGAATGTTTTGGGGTGGAGGACTGGTTTATTGGGGAGAAGGGAGGTTGGGGGAAGAAGGTTAAAGAGGATAAGTGACGAGAAAGAGGATGGGAAATGTAGACTAAGGACAGGAGGGAGGGTTGTGGTCTGGGTGTTGGAGGGAAGAAGATGTGGGAGAGAGCGAGGGATGGGGTCGTAGGTAGGTGGGGATAAATGTGAAGGAGCAGGGGAGGGGGGGGGGGGTTGAGGTTGCAGCACTGAGGTGGGATATACAACACACAAGCAAGTAGCTATCACCATTAGAATATTCTATATATAATGAAATTATCGCTACTGCCTGCCGAATGTCCGTCAAAGTGTCGGAGTTAACTCATACATCTCCTGGTACACAAATGCATATGTCAACAAAGATGCATAATTGCGGAGGTCCAGACAAATGCTTTATGAGGCTAACAGACGTACACAGGGACGCTCCCGTGCTATCGCTGGAAGCTTGCCGTGGTTGCTATCAAAAAAGGCTCTCGGCTTATCTGAAAAATATGCTGTTGGCGAAATCTCACTTTCCTCGGCAGCTTACGTTAGTGATAAAGCACTGTAAATATTTCATTAAATTATACAACACTTAAAAATATCCTCTATTTTTTTCAAGTTTGTTTCTCATACAGAGACGCACTGTTCTCTGTTTGTGAGATGCACAACCTGGGATTGGCTAACACCTCCTATACTGAGAACTTTTCTAAAAGACAGGTGGTGCAGCTTGATTCCTGTAGGTCGAGGCAGGGAGACAGGCACGACTAGGGCTCACAGTGTTGTAGTGTGTGTGGGCGGTGCAGTAAATTTATTTCATGAGGTCACCCAGACACTCCGTACTGAGGGTGAGTCCTGTTGGTGTCGGGTGACCTGGAGCACCAGAGTTCATGGTGTTGCAACTCTTCCAAGGAGACCACAAGCCGTGTGTGTGCCCCCAGGGAACCTCAAACTGTGCCTGCTCCTCCTTCTCGAAGACTTCAGACTGAACCAGCTCTTGGGAGATCTCAGGTATTGGTCCTTTGCTTCTAGGAGACCTCGGAGGACGCACCTGTTCCTGAGAGACCCTTTGGTCCCTCCTCCCACTCCTGAGAGCCAACAGTTGTTTTATCTGAGAGCGTTGAGGACTACAGCAGGGAGCCGATGATCAGGCCCAGGGAGCTAGAGACACTCTGGGACTTCCCCAGCTGCCTGTAAGAAAAAATACAAAATCACAATGGTTCTCTGGTATAGATGAGAAGACCTGTCCCTCGGGAGACGAAGGTGTATTGCTTAAGAATAAAGTGTCTTAGTATTTGTGTGTAAGAAATTTTAATCTTTACTAGAAGGTAGCCACAACAGGTTACCTTCCTTTATGCACCTCACATCTCTGTCTAATTACCATAGGTGTTTATGACAGTCGTGTGGTAACCCTCGTACAGTACTTAACGGGATGCATAAGCTACACGTGTATTTACGAGTAATACTCGTATGAGACATAAGCAGCATGCTGTAGTCGTCAACAGCAAGACACACCTTTCTTCAGATCTCCTCGCCTTCTCTCGTGTTCCCCAAACAAAAACAAAAAATAGAGATGAAAGGCGAACAGAACACTTTTAAGGTCTCTCTTGGGTACCTGCAAGTTCCTCGTGTTTTGTGTTCTTTCTTGTAGAATACTGCCAAGGGAAAAAAATTATCGTCGAAAGAAATTCATAGAATATTGTTGATTTATGATAGCTATCCAAGGCGTATAAAATCGATACTCAAAGAGCTTTACCGTATTTAAAAGCTTCTGGTAATTTTTTTTCTATTTTTGTCTATACCACACGAGTCCTGACATCAGTGACCTCGGACCTATACCACATAGGTCCTGGCATTAGTGACCTGGGACCTACACCACATATGTCCTGACATCAGTGACCTGGGACCTACACCACACAGGTCCTGACATCAGTGACCTCGGACCTACACCACATAGGTCCTGACATCAGTGACCTGGCATCTATACCACACAGGTCCTACCATCAGTGACCTGGGACCTACACCACATAGGTCCTGACATCAGTGACCTGGGACCTACACCACATAGGTCCTGTCAGAGGGTGTGTGTGTGGGTATGTCACGTTTAGTGTTGTGTTGGCTGTAGTGACGCGCTAAATACATTTGTTTGTTTGTGTACGTGATGATAAGGATCCGGTGTATGCATGAATCAAGCAGTGTGTGTGTGTGTGTGTGTGTGTGTGTGTGTGTGTGTGTGTGTGTGTGTGTGTGTTTCTTTTCCTCTCGACATATGTAAAGGGTGGCACTTTACATTTATTTCTCTATCGTTTAAAATAAGGTACCTGATCTTAGCTAAGTTCTGGGGATGTCTTGGGCGCGAACCAGCGACCCCCACCCCCCTCAACTCCACCCACCCACCAGTATGAGTAAAGCTCCATTGATATCAACTCATGAGTAATTCTGCGTGTTAATGTATGTACCTCAGCGATGAATCATGGTAAAACTTTAAGATCAAGATGAATAATTGTGTCCCTCGTGACATCTAAACTCCCACAAAAGGACATGACATCAGCTGGACCACTACACCACTGCCTCAATCAGACGTCAATAGTCAAATATCCGGACATTTCAAACATTTTCAATCCCAAATGATATTATCTCACGGGGTTTATGCCAGAACAGATTATATTATTTTTTTTTCACCGACTATTCAATAAAATAGGCCGGAAAATAACGTCAAATATATTTCTCCGGTAAAGTTTCTGAAATTCGGGTCAGGCGAATGAGAGCTGTTAAAGGTGTAGAAGAATAATAACACGACGGATGGCCACCAGGTTTTGATATATAAGTGATTCACGTCATCTTTTGTTTACTCAGTTGTGTTTCATAAAAAAATAAACAAACACAATAATAGATATATTTATTTTATATATACAGGACTATTAAATACGCTAAGACTCTGTGTGTGTGGAGGGGGGGGGATTTTATTGCCTTTTTTCACAGGATGATGAAAGGCGTTGATGAGTGTTTTTTTTTTATAAGAGTCATCACCGAATGACAGGTATATACAGTATATATATAGCGTGACCACCATCAGTTTTGTGTGATTAAATGTTAAACTTCTTCCCTTTCAGAATTTATTTTACATTTTTCTTATAATTTCATTATATTTGTTTATCGAAGCTCAGTTACTTATTAAACCTGAGATACCGATGGATAATGACACCATACTGTACATTGTTACGTGTTATACAGGCAAACAACGGACTATAGTAACACGGTATATTCTTATGGTGTCTTATCGATAGTCTCTACACTGTAACACATCTCATTCTCCGTCCTTCCCCCAAGAGAGGTGAGGGAGGGGGGTAGAGACAGACCCTCCTCGACCAAGACAGATGGCGGGGTTCTCATGGACGTGTCGAGGCAAGAACTAATGACTTGCTCAGGACAAGAGAAAATGAAGCTGCCTCACAGTGTCTCGATGGGACACTTAACAACCTCTTACATGTCTGTGGCACTTGCTTGACCGGCCCACAGTGGCACTCTTGTTCAACCCCCCTTCCCAGATTGGCTCTTTTTTCGTTGTTTAACTAACCCACACTAGTAATCCCTCACTCATTCCCTGTAATTAAATATTCTAGAATATAAATGGAAGATAATTGAGAAGAAATTATAAAATGATGATGTAAAACTTTATGTGAGGCAGAACAGGTGAGAACGATGTAATCAAGAAGCTGGATGAAGAGGGAATGTTCACACGGATTTAAGAAACAAAGATATACGGTAACAATTGTCAAGAGAAAATAACGGGAAGTAATTTTATTCTCAGTGGCTTACGAAATAACAATGAAATGAAGAAAAAACTGAAGTGCATTACGTACAAAATAATGGGAGGACTAAGGTGAACCAAAGAAAAATAATGGTATATGAAAGCCATGAAGGAGATCAGAGGAGGACGGGGCCCACCAGTAGGAGACACCATCACTCACCGTAGAAGTGTTCACGGCTCTCGAGGGAGAGAGCTGGGCGGTGAGTCTCCAGACTGGCCTCCTCAGTCTTGTTGTAGAAGATGCCGATGGAGGCGGTGCAGCGCAGGGACATCATGTTGTGAGGGAAGTGAGCATGAGTGGCGCGGAAGTGGAGGCCCAGGGTAGACTGTTCCAGCCCGTCCTCGTCCATGAAGGGCGAGTAGTGAACCAGGTACTTGTCCTTCACCTGGCGAGGGGGAGCGAGCGGGGTGAGTGTTGGAGGCACACACACACACACACACACACACACACACACACACACACACACACACGTTACATTGATGCAAGTGAGATTTTTTTCGTAATTGATAATAATCCTCCGGCAAGTAAATGATCAAATGCATATATATTAAACATAAATGTATATATGATTTGGAAGACGCACTTCAGCTTGAATATCAAACTTGTAAATAAAAACATACATTGGAAAATAGACATAACGTTTTCTACATAATTTCGTAACTGTTTTGATATACAGATATACAGTATACCAAATTAGGCTTTATTCATGTATATGTATATTTACACATATATACAGATAATTTTGAAAGATTTTATACATACAGCTACATGTAATATATAAATACCTCACACCACGACATATTGGATTTCTTTTGTATCCATTAAATGTATTTGTTTATTAATGTATTCAATTTAGAGTCGTACGCGTGTTTTGCCATCCACTTAGTTTATCAAGGATTCATTATTACATTTTATACTCTTCTATTGTATGATGACTCTACATAGGCATCAACATACATACATACATACATACATACATACATACATACATACATACATACATACATACATATATACATACGATGAAATACCGCAAAAACCCACAACATAAACGCCTACAGCTACACACCTGACCCACACACACACACACACACACACACACACATAAAGGAACAGTAAGATACGTATCACTGTTCCGACGAGTAGTGGAGGAAGATTTAATAGTCGTAAATCAATGGTTCTCTGTTGGATGTAGTGGAAGGTGTATTGAAGGTGATGGACAGACAGACAGACAGACAGGTAGGTGACAGGTAACCAGACAGACAGATAGGTGACAGGTAACCAGACAGACGTATAGATGACAGGTAACCAGACAGACGTATAGGTGACAGGTAACCAGACAGACGTACAGGTGACAGGTAACTAGACAGACGTATAGGTGACAGGTAACCAGACAGACGTATAGGTGACAGGTAACCAGACAGGCGTATAGGTGACAGGTAACCAGACAGACAGATAGAAAACAGACAGATATGCAAAGAAAGGACAGACAAAACATACAGACAGTCGGTACAGAATCAATGAAAGAAAGTCAATAAAGATAAGCACCAAGACACAAACACACACGTGGAGGAGAGAGAGAGAGAGAGAGAGAGGGGGGGGGGGGGTGCTTCTCAGAGTAAGATTATCTCACATGTGGAAGTGATAAGAAAAGGCATTTAACTGATTTACTTAACATTACTATAAAAAGAACACAGATAAAACTACATTCATTATTACAGGAAGAGATGTTTTATTATCGAGTAAGAGGTCAAAATTAAGTGTTTTGTGATGGTTTAGGTGGTGGGTGGAGGTCTCTCATAAACACACAAGGGGGCAGCCAGAGTCAACACAAGAAAAGTTTTGGGTTGACTCAGTCAGTACTTATGTGATGTGGTCCCTGAGGTGTGATGGTCTAAGTTTTGTTCTTACCCCGGCGGTGCTCTCCCTGTCAGATACTTTTATTTATATATATTCACACATATAATGATAGATAGATAGATAGATAGATAGATGGATGGATAGATAAGAGAAATATATTCGACTGTGTTGGTCATGACACTCGCACCACCAATAACTCATGACAATCGATGAGATACAAGATACAACAGCTGAATGTAAAACACACTGACGATACGTTGACCACGAAAGTCATAACTAAGAATAAGTTTTCTAAGAGGAGTCTGTGAGAAATGATTAGCAGAGGAAGAGGAGGAGGATGAAGAAGAAGACGTCGAAGAAGAGTGATAGTGTCGGAGGAGAAGAAGAAGGAGGAGGATCACGGCATACACACTCCTGACCGTCTCTTTCTCCTCCTTCAGGATAAAAGTAATCAAATATCCGGCAATGTCGTGTAGTGTCCCTCGCTCTGGACGGTCACACGGGTCCTCCTCACAGCTGGCAAAAACCTACACCCGTCTCAGTCTCCTGGTGGCGTGACGGCAGGATTGGAGAAGAGATGGGGTGGCGGCTGGCTGGAGGAGGGAGAGGTGTAGCGAATGGTTGTGGGAGGTAGGGGTTTGGCTCCCGGGGTAGGGGGGGTAGCTCTGGGGTTGTTGTTGTAGAGAGATGGTTGGGGGTGGGAGGGGTGGTTAGGGGTTTGTTTGTTTGGGGAAGGGGTAGTCAGGAGGTTGTTGAGGAGGGAGGTTTTGGCTCATAGGGTGGTGGGGAGAGGAAGTGGGTGAATCATGGGGTGTTGGGGAGAGGAAGGGGTGAATCATGGGATATAAAGAAAGGTGTACAGTATAGGAACGTGGATGATTTCGGGAAAAGGAAAGAGAGGGAGAAGAAGATTAAATGGTTTATAGAGAGAAAGAAAATGAGAAGAAAAACAGAGACCTGAAGAAGATGAAGACATGATAAACAGAGGTGAAAAGAAAGAGGAGGATAACATATAGGAAGGGAAAGGGCACATCAAAGAAGAAGAAGAAGGGAGTATTATTATCACGGAGAGAAAAGGAAAGATAGAATCAAAGAGGATGGATGAAAAGGAGACGAGAAAGAAAAGCGAGGATAAAAGGGTTCAGAAGAGACAGGTACAATAACATGAGGGAAGAAGGAAATAGATGGTAAGAGAGAGAATACAGATAAAGGGGGAAGTACTGAAAGGCTTGATTTACGAGACAAACTAAAAAAAAAAAAAAGTCCAGCAAAGCGATGAAGAACACAACAAGAATGGATAATGATCATGTGAGAAAATGTATTAAAGGAGGAAGAAGACTTGAGAGAAAAGGGGAATCAGGAAGAACAGAGGATATGCAGGTAAGAGAATTCGAAAGGGAAAGAAAGTCAGAATGTTTAGTGGTAAAGTCGTGGTGGTGGTGGATGATGGATTCCGGTGGAGGATGGGGGATTGTGGTGGATTGTAAAGGATGGATTGTGGTGAATTATGAAAGATGGATTGTGGTGGAGGCTGGTGGATTGTGGTGGAGGATGGTGGTTTGTGACGGATGGTGGTTTGTGACGGATGGTGGTTGACGGTGGTGTAGAGTCGTAGTTGTCGTTACATGGTTGAGACAGAGAGAGAGAGAGACTCGTACTGTACCTATATGACCCACGATATATTTTTCTCCACCATTTCTATCTAAGACAAGAACCCTTACCACTATTACTTTGCTTTATCTAAAATTGAAGCGAGTTAGTGCCGGGTCATTTAGAAGAGAACTCGTACTGAGAAGTTAGTCAGCTGTTTGGTAGCATCAAGTTCCACCCACGCGTCTTTACAATGCTCCAGAACATTACTAGACTACTGTAACTGTACATCCTAAGAAAAAAAAAAAAATATACCTTTTCTTTCCTTAACTTCAACGCTACAATATGAATAAGAGAAAAAAAAATTATATGAAACAGTAAAATAGGGGATGTATTTCGCGTGTATATATATTATTTTTGAGTATATAAACCACGCCAATAGTGTTTCTCCATGATATTTTTTTTTTTTTTTTTACGGTTGGGGGCCCTCCCGTGGGTGTTGTTATATACAAAACTAGGGAGCAGTATGAAGCGGTGTTTGAGTGAGGCTGGCCAACACGCTCCAGCTACAGCCGACGATGCCAATAAATCTCTGGTATTTGTGGCTTACGTTTCAAAAGCATAAAAAAAATATATTCATAACATTCTCTCATTTCCTCCATTGCTTCTTCTTCTTCTTCTTCTTCTTCTTCTTCTTCTTCTTCTTCTTCTTCTTCTTCTTCGCATTTTCATTAATTTTTTCTGTTTTGTTTGTCTCTATATGTGTGTTTGTTTTTATTTGTTTGCTTGTTTCTCTGTATGTATCTCTTTGTCTGTCTGTGCCAATTTCTATTTTCTGTCTCGTATAAGTTGATTGTTGAACTCTCTCTCTCTCTCTCAAGACTGGCCCTGTCTCTCAATTTTTGATAACCCTTCCATCCAGTTTATTTTATTAATGTCAATCTCACTCGTGTCCTGGTCAGTATCTCTCTCTCTCTCTTTCTCTCTCTTACATATAATCACTCTCATCTCCTCTTCCCTCCTTCCTTCCTTCCTTCCACCCACTTACTTTCTTCTCCCCCTCCTTCCTCCTTCCATCATCCTTCTTCCCTTCCATCATCCTTCCTCCCATCTCTTATCTCGCCTAATCACTCCTGCACCTTTCCCTCTTAGTTTCTTTGTCTCTTGTTCGTTTCCAGTTCTATTTTCGTTCTCTTTCTCGTGTCGTTTCTTGTGCCGCCACTTTAGCTGCCTTGATTTTCTTCATGTAATCTCGTCCACTCTCTCTCTCTCTCTCTCTCTCTCTCTCTCTCTCTCAACCCCACACACACACACTTCACTATCACCTCACCTCTCCCTCACTCACCACCACCAGACCAGCTCCTCTTACCTGTAACACTATGAGAGGGATGGTATAGCGGTGTGGACCAGAGGATAATTTACATAGGCTCTGCAATCCAGGTAGAAGGGTTCAAAGTGTGGCCAGAGCCGGAGGTGTATTGGAAATTGACTAACGTATGGAGATTCTCTGAGTGTAGTAGCTGTGTTGGGTGGTGGAGGTATTGACTGCTGATATATAGATATATACTCGTATGTCAGTGATGTTGTACAGCCTCTAGTTCTTAAATAATAGTAATAATAATAATAATAGTTGTAATGATTTTAAGTGTGTGTGTGTGTGTGTGTGTGTGTGTGTGTGTGACTCATTAGTTAATCAACCAAGACCCTTCGCCCTGACAGGTAAGGCTGCCGTGCCGGGACGCAGGAAGAGTACAGCCCTGCCTCTTGGAATTTCATGTCGCGTGTCTCTGATTTTTTAACCCAAGTTAATCACCTAATTGACTGATTGAGCAAGGTTTGTGTGTGTGTGCGTGTGTAATCGTGGTTTCTATGTGTGTGTACGTATGTATGTATGTATGTATGTATGTGGTTTCTTTACGTATTTATGGTTATTTTAAGGAATTTTTTTGTCATTGTTGCACTTGTGGATAAGTCTTATTACATCTCAGGCTAGTCTCTCTCTCACACCTATCCCTTCCCCCACATCTCTCGTCATATAAGTGAGGGAGGTGTATTTACTCAGATATGTACACACCCATAAACACGTGTAGACACATTTACTCAGGCATTCAACATACATTTTCCACGTGAACTCCCCCCCTGCCCTCCTCCTCCCTCTAAACCAGGAGAAAAATATACGTTTATTTATATTACGGCTTTCCAGTGACGTATTTTTATCGTTCTCTGTATAAGATTATAATTATCATCCTTGTGAGTTTTTGTTTAAATTACATCAATATAAAAGTATTCAATTTTGTAAAGTATTTTTATTCCCCTTTGTATACTAAAAGCCCCATCACCTTATGTTACAAGTTCCTGAGCTAAAGGGAATGTGGTGTGGTTCTTATCTGTCCAAGTGTCTGTTTATTTAACTGTCTATCAAGTTAGATGTTACTTATTTTGGTGTAATGATAAACTCACCGTATAAAGATAATTATAAATGGAATACGAATACACACACACACACACACACACACACACACACACACACACACACACACAAGAAATCAACATCCTGGAAGTTTGTTTAGGTTCTTTATATCACTCAGGGCAAGAGCATGAGCTGAACACATGAGTGGTACAATGTCAGGGGTAGATGGGTGGAGTTAAATACAGCCGTTCGTGAAGCTCTAAGAAGAAACAGATCTAGAGATGAGACTTAGCTATGACTGGAGAGAGAGAGAGAGAGAGAGAGAGAGAGAGTGTGTGTGTGTGTGTGTGTGTGTGTGTGTGTGTGTGTAGGGGTCGGTCAGATACGGGCGTAGGACACTTGGCTATTGGGTACTAGTATAAGAATTTCCAGTTGTCGGGTACGGGACTAAGACCTCGAGGGGTAGTCGGATACAAGTGGGGGACGGCAGACAGAGGGGGAGGTGGGAAGGTGGTGCTTCTTATCATCACCTCTTGTCGTTGTTATCGCCACCTCCGCCTTGTCTTCCTCACCTGTCCTGACCTAGCGCCCCCCTGAGCATCTCTCTCTCTCTTATATCACTTACCACCTCTCCGTTGATGTACCAGGTGAGGGCGGCTGCTGGCTTGGAAGGGGCCGAGGTACAGTTGATGCGAACTACGTCCCCTGGGTGATACCTCTCTTGTGCCCCCCTCACAACGGGCTTCTCCTGAGGAATATCTGCCGAGGTACAAAGTGATATTATGAGATAGTTTAATTAGTAATGATCACCTGTAGATTAAATACCTCTCCCAAGCTTATTTTACCTGGTTACCAAAAATCCTCAAGGTAACATAACTTCATCTAACTTAATTTAACGTAAACTAACCTAACCTAACCTAAAACCTTGGGAAAGATGACATTGGGATAAGTCCTCAAAGGATTCATTCTCAACACATGCAAGAGCTACATATGATATGCATTAGATGTAACAGATAAGAAGAGGAATTGCAATTTCAAACATGAAAGAAAATGGAGAATATTTATGGCCGAAATTTCAAAGGGAAACTATTTAAAAAAATTCTAAGTAAAGTAGGGCGTACTACTTCTATTAAAAAAAGTACTCTAAAAAAGTATATACAACTTATTTCAATGGCGTACTATAGAAAGTTTGTAAAAAAAAGTATTTATTAAAGGAGGTACTACTTCAGTTTATTTTTTTTCTCCAGGGTGCACTAATGAATGTGTAGTAGATCCTATGGTTACTCATGTTGACACGCTTCTAATATTATCGAGATGAAATAAACAAATTCGTCAATAAATCAATAGTAATATAGTGAGACAATTAAGAAGAGGAGGGAATAGGAAGAAGAGAAAGGAAGAAAAGGAGAAGCAAAATTCGGAGTAAAAAAGGAGGAGATTGAGAGATTTTGGGAAAGACTTAAAAAGAGAGGGAAAGAATAAGCAAAGAGGAGGTTAGGAGTAAAAAGAGTAAGATGGGAGTATAAAGAGTAAGCTAGGAGTAAGGTAAGAGGAGTGATGATTGAGATAGTTCTTACCCACGACCGTAAGGATGGCGTGTTCCACCAGGGTATTAAAGGCTGGTGCTTCGGCCAACACCTCACACTTGTACCTGCCGGAGGTCGCTAGCGTCGCCGTCTTCAACACCACCACTTGCCCTGTGCTGGCTTCCATCTGAAACCAAAACAACAGAGAGATGAGGGCGTGATACTTGTTACAGGGACAATCAGCCACACACACACAACCTGTAACGAAACTCGATGTAAACAGAATAACGAATGGAAGAGTATGGGTCGTGTCCGTAGATTTAATTCACTCGTAATACTCTTAGCTGGGTAGGGAGAAAGGTAAGTAGGAAGGTAGGTAGGGAGGAAGGTAGGTAGGGAGGAAGGGAGGAAGGGTGGTAGGTAGGGAGGAAGGGAGGTAGGGAGGAAGGGTGGTAGATAGGGAGAAAGGTGTTGTAATCATAGTGTGATACAAGAACAAATCTTTCGTTTCATTTTAATTTTTTTAAAGTTATTTTTTCAGTTTTTTATTTTTGTTTTGTTTTTCTTATTTATTCATGTATAGACATCAACACACACACAACGACAAACACACAGACGCAGAAACACAAGCACACACTCACAGCTTAACAGAATAACAAAGTGAAGACCACAAAGCCACAAGGAAGAACCAAGAAAATAATAACGATAATGTGTGTGTGTGTGTTTGTGTGTGTGTGTGTGTGTGTGTGTGTGTGTGTGTGTGTGTGTGTGTGTTAATGTTCCTCACCTGCCGCCAACACAGGTTCAGGATAATACACTTTTAACAGTCGTATATATTGAAGTTAATTTACATCTGAGTTGATACAATAAAGAGGCTATACAACATATTGCAGTGTTCACCTCGTCTCATATTAAGATAGAGAAATATAATCTAATTTGTATCTTAAATAATAAAAAAAAATATATTATAATTAGTATTTCAGATGATACAATGAAAAGGAAATTGATATCGCCAGAGCATGTTAGTTAATACATGTTTAAAAAATGATGGTAACATGATTTACTCTTAGAAACAAAATATCATGTTAATATTGTCTCTTTTCTGAAAAATTATTTTGGATTTTAGTGTTGATTCGTATGGGGGAAAAAAATATAGGGATATTTTTGTAAGTACTTCATAGGAAAATAATTTCTTAATCAATATGTATATCAGAAATATGTATGTAGATGACGTGACTCAGGAATGTATATGTATGTAAGGACATCACAGCACACGATAGTCTCTCTCTCTCTCTCTCTCTCTCTCTCTCTCTCAACCCGATGATCATATTCTTGTCAGGTTTCCAATTAAAAAAAATTTAATTAGGTAAGAGTAAATGTTTGGGAGAATAGAAACACTCTTCCTTCCTCCTTCTTCCTGCTAGCGTACATCTTCCTCTATACTCAAACACCGTCTCCTCCTCCTCCTCCTCCTCCAGCTATGTGCTTGAGAAATGAATTATCTGCCCAAGTTGACTCAGTACAATGAACCTTTTCCATCTTCGCTGTTTTATAATATATATATATATATATATATATATATATATATATATATATATATATATATATATATATATATATATATATATATATATATATATATGTGTGTGTGTGTGTGTGTGTGTGTGTGTGTGTGTGTGAATATTCCTCCGTTTCCGTCGTTTTTTTTTCTGAAAGTTTTCTCTGTCTTTAAACATTTTTAATTTCCTATTTTTTTTTCTTTCCCGTTTTCTTCGTTCCCATCTTTAATAACACTACTTTCCTCTTCCTTTACCTCCTCGCTTCATCCTTTCTCTTCCTTCTCTCCCCCATCTCCTTGGTTCTCCTCTACCTCCACTCCCTTTTCCTCCTCCTCCTCTTCCTCCCCCTCTCATCTTCCTCCTCCTCCCCTTCCTCCTTAATACACCTGTCCTCCTTTCCTGCTATATCGCATACCTTAATTAATTACCTTGAACGAATCTCACCTGCACCATCAAAAAATTACTAACTTAACTACGGAAATTACCCTCGTTACAACTCTTATTAACAACACTATCACAACTAAAATCATTACAATCACCACCATCGCCGCTCACAACACAACCTTCCACTGTCATCGCCATCACCATTGTCGTAATCTTCGTCAACACCAATCGCCATTTGTACAATCACATGAACACCATCGTGAACACTCTTTCACCACACATCACCACCATTACCACTTCTGACACCGTCACTGTACCAACACAGACAACTTCGCCTTATTAATTGTCACAAAGACACACAACCTACTGCTCGGCAACACCAAGAACATACTGAGGCGCGTCAAGAAGCTCATTTCCGTGTTGAAAGGAACAAGAGAAAGCATTCTCTATGTTTTAGCTAAAGAGACTATACAGAAAATATATCATTTACACCTGAAAGCTTCTTCCTCGAACTCCTCTTCTGGACGCCGCACCCTACTCCCGCCCAGAGCCGCCCTTCTCCCGCCCAGAGCCGCCCTTCTCCCGCCCAGAGCCGCCCTTCTCCCGCCCTGAGCCGCCCTTCTCCTTCCATAAAAGCCTTTCTCCTTTTCTCTTAGAGAGCACTATTTCTTTTGTTTCGTCATAAGGAACTCTTCCTCTCCCTTCCCTTCCACACATCACAATATCCCCCCAACCCCCCATCCCCCCAACCCGTTCTTCGAGACAACCTCCTCCTTCATTCCCCTCACAGTAGACCACAGTCTTGTCCGGGTCCTGACTGTGTAGTGGCGGAGGAGGTGGTAATAACCGTGGGTGGTTCTCCCAAGTGCGGCGCCTTGATGCCTAATGAGCCCCACCTGTTGCTAGTGGCTCATCAGCAGGCAGCACCCACCTCCCGGGGGCCGTCGACACGCAGGGGTGGGAACGGGGGTCGTTCTCTACCAAGGGACGACCTGGTAGGGAGTATTCCTTCAGGTTTTATATTATCTTTCCTGTGTCAGGTTTTTAAAAAAAATTCAGTTTTTTCCACTGGCCATGGTGTCTGTGCTTCGCAAGTATTGAAATATGAGTTAATTTTTAATTCATCACGATGAAGCGAGGCATATGAGCATCGCTCATGAATCTGTAATTCATAACTTTTTAACGTCTTTCTTGTATTATTATTTCAGAGTACCTAAATGATATGCTTTGGCACCCTGGCCGACAGAAGATGAATTATGCAATAGTGTTTTATGAACGCTCAGTGAGAATGAACACGTTTGATTATTTTGGCTTCATTTTTGTTCAGTGATACATCTTTGTTTCACAAGTGATATAACTGGTTAATACACAGAAGTTTAACATACAGCCCTCGAACATTAGGATTTACCATTAATAATTTCCGGCGGCGCGGCTTCCTCTGCCGAGACTGTCGACAAAGAAGCGGGGAGCGCCGGCCGCCTGAGGGCCGGGGCAGCTCTGTGGTTCACCATCTGCCTCAGAGACCAGGCAACAGGTCCGCCTTGCTTACATTACCTTTGTACATGCAGCGAAACAGACATTTCCAATTACAAGTACAAATTGTGGAAGGATGAGGAGTGCTTTGTAGTCGCCTAAGTAATAGTAATACCCGTGTGATCCCCTCTATGAGCGAAGGTTCATGAATATATATGACGATACAGTGGTTAGGGCCAGCTCCCTGCAGAGCTCCGCGTGAAGACGAGGCGGGACTGGTTGTATATCAGCCAGGTATATCCACCAAATATTATTGTTGTGGTCCCTTATGGAAACATCGTTTACTGGCAATATTTTCACTTTTTTTTTTAATTAACTTGAGAGTCAGAGAGCTGAGGTTATGGACCAAAACAACGGAGAGTAGTAGCTGAGGATCTCGGGAACTGGGAGACTCGTGAAACAAGTATGTTGAAATTTTCCCTTGTTGGCGTCTGTGTTTTAACTTGACTTATTCTTACTCAGGGAAGTGACGGCTGAGTTGGATACAGCTCTCGACTCCCGCACCTTATCCAGAGGCGTTTGTCCATGACTGTATCTATATAACATGATGGTCTGTGTCTGCTGTAATCAGCACAAAATACTCAGACTTGGAAGACATATTAGGAGAGCAACACACAGAATATTATTATTATTATTATTATTATTATTATTATTATTATTATTATTATTATTATTATTATTATTATTATTATTATTATTATTAGTCGTGTGTAACGGTGTCCTTAATACGATCCCAGTCACACGTGTGGATGTCAAGTGCAGAGTCCAGCCTAAACTCCGTCGAGGGTAATTACTCACGCCCGATCCTAAATAATTGACCCAGTGACCATTTGCCCCAGGAAACACAACCCACCAAGGGCAGTAGGACAAACAACTTACTAAACTTATCCTTTATTGTCTGTGTGTGTTTGTAGGCTTCAGACTCCCAGGTCCTGTAGCCCGTAACTAAAGTCTGTTAATACACCACACCTGAGTTATAGGTCTGACAGTCCCGTGGTTATGGTCAGACACTCATGGTCGGAAATTTATGTTGATTCAATGTTTTATTTTTATATTTGTAATTTTCGTCGTATTTTTCTATATTGGGAAGAGAATAGTTATTTGTGAACTTAGAAAACATATGTATTAGTGATAAGTAACAAGTATACTGTATATATGAGTACATGGGCCCAAAAGTGCAAAGATGAAAAACACCAACGTTCTTGTGTTTGTTTCATAATATTCTGACTTCATTTGATCCCCCACAGTAATATTTCATTACCAACATATATGGCAACTTGAAGTCACCGCTGACGAGTTATTTGGACGTTTGTAACAACTTCCAAAGCTCATAACACTGCACAACTTTCCAAACGCAGCTACGAATTCGGAATCCTATCTAACACAACCAATTCCTGTCTGACAGTGTTTCAGCGATATGCGGAGTTCTGAGTGATTGTACTCTACAAGTACTACTTCGAAACTGTTCCCTGCAGAGCCTTATACTTCCAGAAACACTCAGCATTTTGCAACAGTCTTACATCAAATTGATCAAACATGGGCATGAATATCCCTCGCCTCCAGCTCTGCAGAAATCTGAATTCAATCTGGTGTGGCGAGCAAAGTTGGACAAAGTAAACAGCTGAGGCTTTTAATCCTCCAACTTGTGGGAGACTGTGTCGCTCCTCCAGACAGAATGCAGAAGTAGGCAAGTCGGGCAGGGTGGCGGCGG